ATTGTTTCATTAAATTAATATAATTATTATATTATTGTTTGCTTTATGTTAATTGTATAATAAATATTAGCTATCTATTTGAAGGGCGCGTCAAGATCTTATCGCGATGTATGATAACAACCTGTCTTTTTTACATAGATATCACAAAAATAGTTGCTCTGATATCCTAGTACGTGTATTATAATTAGTATTGTTTTTTTATATTATAGAAAAAAGCAGTTTTAGCATTTATATTTTATTAATATGGAATGGAATTCGTATTGTGTTTTGAGTCTGTAGTTACTACGTATTAAGTTATAAAAATATTACTAAATACTTTTTTCCTATACAGCCATCATTAGAAATTTTAATATATATATATAAAAAGATTCCTCAAATCATTTTTACTTATTTTCTTAATATTTTTCAAAGGATATGTCATAAACTAAAAGTTATTTTATCAAGATAACTATACCACGACTTTCCATCAAAACTATATACTTATAAATTACTATCTGTATATCTGTTTCTGGTTGAACAAAAATGTAAGCATTTGATTCAAGAAATGTTGATAGTGATTAACCAGTTTATTTGATACGAATAATCCCGGCTTTATGTTATGATATTTCTGACATTGGTAAGATAAAATTTCTGATGCCACAAGATGAAACATTACGTGACTGATAATAGATATTATTATCAAAGGCATAAGGTAGATAGTTGAATAAATAATTAATTATAGCTATATATATTTTTGACTTCCTTTTTTTCTTTGCTTTTACATATTGTGATTTTAAAGAAAGATTTTTTTAAATTAACTTTACGAAACCGTGTATAGGCCAAACTAATTTATGTATTACTTAAATATTGTTCTTGTATTTCTTGTTCAGAAGGAAAAATACCAAAATAACATACTTAATTCATACGATGTAAATTAGTTAATTCAGGTTTAACCGGCCAAGAAAGTATATAGGTGGCTAATTATTTTAAGCTCTATATATTATCCAGATTCACTGCAGCGTTAAATTATGATGAGATCCGCATCATATATCTGCTGGAATGTGTTCTAATATAATGATGAAAGGTTTTTTTTAATTAAATGTAATTGTAATAATTTTAAGTGTAACCTTAATTAAAGTTTATAATTTGGTAAGCAATGACTTGTAATTTCGTTCGAGTTCTTATAGTAATATTATAATGCAACTTTTTATGGACGTACGTACGGATTTTTGATAATCTTTCATGGAAAATTTTCTACAAAACATATATCAAAATTCGCTGTAGGAAGATATATATGTATATGTAGAAGAGTTAACACAATGTACTGTATATGTTTATTAATTTATGACCTCCAAACATATTTATTATATTTTAATATTCTTATTATAAGCTGAAGAACATTGTTATACATATATAAATAAATTTAGATCTGAAAGAAAACAAATCCTGTATTTATATATCACCAAACAGACAGACAGATATAGTTTGATCTTTCCTAATTGAATGAATTGAACTCTTAAGTTACCTAACCTTATTTAAATGGAGGTTTTGAATCGGTTAAACGTTTTATAATTCATATGACAAAATGTATAGTAATAAGCGAATGGCCTTACCAAAAACATATGCAATAATTAATATATTTAATTTTAATTCGTAATAACAAACACTCATTATTTGAATAGTGATTTTCAACTGCTTTATGTGACCTCAATTTAGATAACATACGGAAACACTGATCTAATAAAACTATTTCCTGGTACAAAAATCACGAAGTGTGTACGTCCGACCTCGTGAGTAATGTCCCTTACTGTTGAAACACAAGTGTTACGAGTACGAGCTACAAAAATATATAAATTTATACTTAAGGTAAACTTAAAGAAGCACTTAAAGCATTGGGTATTAAATACTAATGGGCTTAAGGGATGGACTTAAATAGTTCGGGCGTTATTGGTTTTGTAATAATACTTATACATTACAATTTAGTGAAGAAAAAATGAAAAAATACATATACATTTTATAGACGGTTTTATATTAAGAAACAAATAAATAATCAAATATTATTTCCGTTACTTGTGAAGTTATGGTAAAAAAAATAATATTATTATTAATTCATATATAAAATGTGTCTTGGAATTCCCTAAAGATGTTTTCTATAGATTCTAGGTTATCGCAGCGATTTATAGTCATAATTGTCCTACATATTCCGATCCCTAGAGAAAACTGAACTAAATAAAACATTTTACTAAGTTTTATATAAAAATTAATATATTATTCTGACAGTGTTGCCACATTTTTAGTGTTGTCACTTCAAAAACATTCCGTAATTGTTATTTTTATTGCATTTTGGAAGTATTGAAAACAATTCGAGTTTATTTTTCTTAACGTTATGAAAGAAATGAATTTATTCAAAGTATTATATGCTTAATGTTTCAGCTCGTGTTTCTCTTTTTGCAAGAATAATAGATTGTATTATGTGTGTTAAATGTTTACGTTTCGTCTGCTAAGTGGATACTTAATGTAATTGGTTTGGAATATTTCAAAACTCGAGTAATTAAATGTCGATTTGCACAAGAAGCTAAGTACTGCTCACTGTCCGTGTTAGGGTTGCCACAAATATCTTTTTTAAGTAAGTTTAATCTTAATTTAAACCGTTTTTGTTTTTAAAAATGTATCAACATCACCGTTCTGACGAGTCGCACGTCACTACAGACGGTTCAATAACATTAGATCGTTGACCTACGAAAGTGCCCGTTTGTTTAAAGTAAATGATAAAAAAAATATTACCGTTTCAATTGAAAGTATTGTTAAACTTTATCCGTTACTTAGCTGTTTTGATGTACCATAAATTATAAAGTCGTCTTTAAAGAGTATTGAAATATATTATTATATACAGATGTTCCTCTTACGTCATCTAATCAGCATATTTAATATTATGTACTTATCTCGTAATACTAAGAAAACAGTAGAGTAAAAAATATATTAAAAAAATATTATATAGGAATCTTATAAAAAATATGAAAAACATTTGTGAAATCTCGTATTAACGTGGATGGAAACGATTTATCTTGTATCGTGAGACAATATAATTTATGTGTTTTTGTTGCGTTTTTAACAAATATCTTGTAATTGGGTTATAAATTCCAGCTCACCTACTTTTGATAGATAAAAATTAATTTCTATATACATATGAGAACTAATATAGTTTGATTTAAAAATAGATACATACTCAGATTTTATTGTACATATATTTAATGTAAATAGTTTTTTTGTGGTATGCATTGCAGATGGAAACTTTCCATTCATTAAAATTAACGTTCCTAAGTAAATTATTATTTATAGTTGAGTTATTTTAATTCATATTTTAGTTAAAAATAAAAGTGTATTAACGTACATTATATTTAATTTTAATGTTTACATTAATTTAATTGAACATCGTGAAATCTTCGTGACGTAAGTATATAAAAAAGGCGGATTTTACGTGAATTAGGTAAATGTTTCTGTAGGAAAATGCTAAGCAACTTTAATCGGAATTGTTAATTGATTTTTTTTACTTATTTAATGAGATGGTAAAACTAATGATTACTTTATTATTAGCTTATCAAATACGAAGAGCTTAAAAAGTGTTAGCTTTTTAACCGTATATAACAAAATTATTCATATAAAGTATGTTAATATATAACTTTCCGTTCTTTTATATCCTTAACAAAACAACTTAGATTAAATTTCAATTAAAATTTTGGTTTCAGTATGTCTGCATTACAAAAATAAGTTTTCTAAGACAGTTGTGGACATTAATTATTATATAAATCGTGTTCAAATTAAATATTGCTAAGTAAAGATATTGGAAAATATATGTATGTACTATTTTAATTACAGAACATATAATTTACTTCATACGAAACTTTACTAAGCCGCTACCAAACCAGGTTTTATAACATGGTTTCAGTCGGTTTACGACGTTCATAATCTTTATAGTTGTAACCTTATATATAAAATGTGCCCATCATAAAACGTGATTCTAATACATTATTCCATACATTCACCTTGATTGCATTCAAAAAATTGCTTTTTTTGGCAGAATAAATCGGATCTTGATCGTTTATTTAAAAAAAATAAAGTTCTTACTATGAGAGTATTATTGTTTAAGTCAATTTGATAGCAAGGGCCTCTGTGACGTAAGTAGCATGCTATCGAAATCGGGTCAATGTCGACCGTCTGATGGTGCATATCTTTCAAATATCACCTCTATTTTAAAATCGCCATCTTTACTATTATACAAAATGCATAACAGCACTTTGATTCGAATTTCAAATGCACGAAAATTTTTTTTCTCATTTTATTCGCGGACTAAATTCAACAATTTTATTACGTAAATATTTTTAATAACATTAATTTGATGATATGGCCGTAATAATATTTAATGTACATTATTTTTTATATCCAACTATTGACTCATTTCCTATTCCACCCAAAATTTCGCAGATATTTCATAATAAACAACAAATTTGACATACATTTCTGTAGTGACTGAACATATGTAATGATTATTTTTGTGTTATTCTATTGTTTATATATATTGTACGTCAGCTTTCTTTTGCACGGACGCTTTATTGAATCTAGAGGTCGCAGCGCTACCAATCACGTCAATTGGCTCAATCGGGGCAAGTGACGCGTTTGTTACGTCAGCGAGTCTTTGTCTGTATGGAAACAGCAAATCACCGAATAACTGTACATTTCCGTTCAAACATACATATTATATAAAAATAAAATAATAAAGATTTTCAATTAAATACAAGTCTAGACACGATTTTGTACTCACGACGGATTTATTACGTAGAGATAAAAATTTTACTATCAGTAGATATTGTCTGATAGTGAGATTTATTTTGTGATGTCGATTTTTTTACTGATATGTGGTTTTTGACCTTGACTTTGTTTTTCACTTGATATGTAATTATTTTGTTTTTGAATGTTTTTCTTTATGTTTACGATGTTATAAATTTTTGTTCTCTCTGTTGCAGGTAGCAATTAAGATAATAGATAAATCACAGTTAGATGCCAGTAATCTTCAAAAAGTCTACCGCGAAGTGGATATCATGAAGAGGCTGGACCATCCTCATATTATTAAGCTTTATCAAGTAAGTAAAGAAAGAATATAATAATGTATGATCGAAAAAAATATATGCGATTTTTTGGTCCTTGGACTAAAAACAAAATTAATTTAAAATACATTATTTAAATAAATATGAAAAATTGTAGTGATTTTCAAGCCTTATACCTTACTGCATATTTCTTAAAAATAAATATAAGATATACAAAATTTCGTTAAAGAATTGAAAACTTCCTTGGTCCTTTTTTTTAATGTTTACGTACGATATATTTATATAATGCTATTTATATATGTACAACTAATTATACGTTACTCTTCAATGTTATAGTGAGTCATTTATTGTACTGTTCATTATTGTATTGAAATTACTATATCAACAAACGATGTAACATTTTACGTCAGTTGTAGTACGTCCTAACTTGGGGTTTTTTCCGTCTATCGCATGTCGCATTACAGTTGTATGAGTGTGGGTAAAGTAAGAACCACTTGCCATACTAAGTGCACCTGAGTCTAATATGCCGGTGGCAATATCTCGTACAGCTACCCGTTTAGCATTTATATTCTCATTCATCTAAGTGCTTTAAGCTTTAAATATACTAATTTCTGAACATGCTACTATCATCTTAATAATTGAACTAATATTATGTTAAATAAAAATATAATTTGAAGTTTTTTCAACCATTGGTTTCTCCTTTTATTTTCAAATTACTAAGTTAACATGTATTCGATTTTAATACCTTAAGTATGTTTAATAAGATTTTCCCCTTAAAAAAAAGTATGTTTAATAAAATTCTTAATCCAATACCTACCCGGAAAAGTGCTAATTTTATTGTGGTTTTATAAAAGATCATATTGCACTTAACTAAAGTCCTTGAGTTTTCAAGTACATACAAGAAAATATACTGTCCGATAAAGATATACTTATTTAAAAATTCAGTTTTTAAATTCAATGCAAATCTGTACTGACATCATTTTAATTTTTTATAATACAAGGATTTAAAAAATATATTTTAGATATCTTCAGAGGGCGTGTTATGTGTGAACATCAAATATATTCATTAATACGAATGACATAAGCAAATGTATTATTATTTACTTAGAATAAAAAAAAAACACTCGGCACTGTTTACATTATCACGACTGATGATAAACGAATAAAAAATCGAATTTGCTTAATATAATCCTTTGAAATACATTAAAAACTAGATTTTAACTCCGGTTTCCTTAATTTAAAGGACCGTTGAAAAAAATAGCATCCGTGTTTTTCCAATCCTACATCTATATAAGTTCAACATCATACATCGCAATCGGTTGGATATTTTTTGTATGATTGAATAACAAACACACGCATACAAATCTTGCATTTAACATTCATAAGGTTATTTCGCAAATAAATTTTACATCATACATTTTTATACGTTATTGGCTTTTATTGAAAATATGATTTTTGAAGAATTATATAGAATTTGTCACTTATGTCTTTCTAATTGTTTGGTATAGCCAATTCTTATACATTGAGGTAACTTATCTAAATATCTCTTCTGAGAACTAAAGAGAGGATATAATATTACATTTATTTTCATACTTTTTACATATTTTTTTACATCGTCTCCATAAATTGAATGTTAAATTAGCTGTTTGATCGTATTTCGTAAATAGTAAATACCGTATGCAGTTCTAAGTGACACGGTTAATGTGTTGTGAAATTACTGTTCAAGCTTTGCTTAGCATTTAGGACATGTTAACAAGCCCGGTTGAAGAATGTAGCCAATGTGTCGCCTTATCACGGCTTAGATATGAAATCGTACGAAGTATTACACCATATACGTCAGAACGGTAATATTGTTTGGGATTTTGATTAGAGCTATTTTTTTAAAGAATAAGGTCTTAGCCAGATTAAAATAAAGGGGATATATTTAATATTAGAGTTTTTGCTTAGTTTTATCTTAATTTACAATCATCTGGAGACTTGAAGTAATAATCGTTTTGTTATTGGGTGAAACTCTACTTAGAAATTTTAAAACTTTTTGAGTGGTTTAATAATAATTGTTTTGATAAATATTTATTGATTATATATATTAGATTAAAAGTAAAGAAAAAATAGTAAAATTAATGTCAATCTTACGTAGCTGCTAGTCTGTTGCTATTTCTCTTTGGTAATTTATTATTTCCGTAACTTTTTAAGAAACGAAATGATACACATATCTGCGGAAAGGAAAAGAAAAATCAAAAAATATTGTATAAAAATTCATTTACATTTCGCTTTCTTCATTTTTTTGTCTTACTTCCAACTTTTTTGTCGTTTTTTTTTAATTTGAATTCTTTATATATAAAAACTTTCATAACTTTGTATAAATAAATATAATAAATAATATAATATAATAAATAAATAAACCTTATTTTTTCTGAGATTGATTCACCTAAAGCGTAATAATTACAACTGGATAGTCTATATTTTTTTTGGTAACTTGATAGTAATAAAACAGTTTTAACAATGCACTTATTATACCAAAGACTAAAATAGGTTACGCTTACGTTAGGCGATTCCTGCAACTGGAACAATAGCTTACGAGATTCAAAACGATGAATGACTTAAAAGCTACTAATGCTATGAATGATTGCTGGCTACAGAGATGTTAAAAACATCAAAAGTATAAACTATAGTCACTCTTTTGTACTTCTTTGAATAACAGATAAATATCAATTGAAAATTAAAAATGTGTCTTAATTACATCTATCATAAGATTAATATTTGAATAATTAAGGAATTGTTAATTGATAAACGTTTCGTGTTTATTTTGCGAGTGTTTTTAAGCCGTACGTTGACACGTTATTTTATTTTTGGATATTTTCAGTACCACGTGACCTCTATTCACAGTCAGGGACTATTACGACTGTAAACTGTTTTAATTAATATATATTTTGCACGAACGATTCGAACCAGACATTGTAATTTGTTGAAAATAGAAAATGTTAAAGTATTGTTTAAAAATAAACTCCTATTTATACGTAACATGAACACGCGAGTTGTGTTTGAAAATACGCTTAATTTAATCAAAATGTTTGGAATATTTTTTCTTTACTTTTTTTGTTAATAATGGTTTTTGTAATATATGTTAATTGTTTCTATTATATAAAACAGACTAATTAATTATTATTAATTGATTGTCCTAAACACAACATTCTTTTAATAGACAAAAAGATACAAAAAAATGAGTAACGTAAAATATTAGGCTTATATTTATATCTTCTCTTCTTAATAAAAAAAATCTCCAGATATACCTAAATGTTGAAAAAAATAACCTAAAAGTTAAATATAAGTAAATTTTCTTTTACATTATTGAAATATATTTGTAAGAATTTCTTTCATCAGCTGTCTACGGGTCGGGGATAAAAAAAGTTGTTATGTTTGGACTTCGTAAAAATTTTCCTTAACTTCTTTGTCAAATGTCGTGAGAATAAATGAGGCGGTTCCGGTTGAGCGATGGGTAAATAAAGTCGTAAGCCTATAACCGACCTATAAAAAGGAGGTTCTCAATTCTTATATCAGAAATCAGTCTTTTTTTTATGTCGCAAGGAAACTCTTTTTACGAGCCGTCCTACCGGCCTTGGTTGGGTCGGAAGGGATGTGTGAGACTCGGCCTGGACAGGCCCCTACTCACTAAAACTGCTGCAGAACTCAGTTTTACCTAGTATAAGTAATAGCTTATAATTATTGGTAATATTAAATGAAATGTTTTTTTTATTAGGTAATGGAGACAAAGAATATGATCTACATAGTGTCGGAATACGCGAGCAAAGGGGAAATATTTGGTAAGTAAAATGCACTTTCCTTTGAACTGCTTCCGTTTTGATTTTTTTTGGTATATTTTGCATCCATTAAGTCGAGCTTAATGACGTCATCGCTGTCCTAATTGGCCACTCGAAGTTGCCTGAGAAAATGAATGCTGTAATTGTCTATTAAGAGCTTTCCTTTGGTAATAAAATTTTCTAAAGAACTAATTTTGACTCGAACGCTAAAATTTCAGACGAAAATTATGAGATTACAAAATATTTGAGTATACAATTTTAAATATACGAAAATTCTACAATATTTGTATAAATATACACTATCATTTAGGTATATAAAAAATAACATTCGTTTCGCCAAGAAAGAACTAAGTTTTTATTTTTCGTTTATATAACCAATGGAATAATCTTTATACATAGACATCAAGATTAATTAAGTACATGATTTCAACTTGAAACATAAACTATAGAATGAAAAATGTAACAATTTTGCTCTTTATCAGAATTCAAACTCCCAATCTAGTCAAACTATCGTGTCTTAACTAAACTTTAGAGTACATTATTTCTTTATTCTATAAGAATTTTAATATTAGTATTTATTTCAATATATAAAAAGTTAACTAAAACAATACATATTTATTATTTAAATCTCTTCGAAATTTAGGATTCCCATAAAAATTCTACTACCTTTCCTTCAATAGCCTGACACAAAGAAAATAATCAAGAATAAGGCACTAGTGACGTCACTAATTATGACGTCATAGTTTTTAAATACTATGAAATCTACTATTTCGGTCATATATACAATATTAAACAATAGCTAGCTATTGCTAAGTATAGCTAAGTTATTCTAGAATAACTTTAGTATTCTCATAATGTATTATTTAAATGAATGTACACAATCGATTTCATAATAAATTTCTAATATAAGTCTCAGACTGACTCAATATCTTCCCACATTCGACAAATATGGAAAGCGTTGGCGTATGACCTTATACTACTCAATAAGGATTTATGAATACTCTTAACATCATTTCAAATAAACAGACAGTATTATTATATTATGTATATATTGATTTTATTATGAAATTTAATTTTATAGAAAGTTTCATATATTTTCATTATATTACGTTATTCCATGCATCAGTGAAACTTAATTTCTAAATGCATTATGTAATTATGAAATAATAATTTATTTGAAACAGAAATTAATGTTATATTATTTTTAATTGTTCTTATCATATTTAATTTTATATTGCGGTGTGTGGTTAATATTAATTAAAATTGAAAATCATTTTATACATTTATGTTTATTTTGAGTAATTATGTACATCCTAATTGATAATGAGAGAGTATTACTTAATCAAGAAGATTTATTTTGTATTAAATATTAATTATTTATAATTTGCGTAAGACTTACATAATATTAAAAAAATATATATGGAAATGAATAGATTTATATTAATATAGATATTGTTGAGGACATAAAAACAGTATTAGCAGTAAAAATTTTCCTTTAAGTTCATGAAACCTCGCCTTTAAATAAGTACAAGCAAAAGACGTAGGTACTTTGCCACTTCGTTTATGACGTCAGCAGCGGGGTATGACGTCATTGAGCCGTCGGGGTTGTGTAGGGATGGGGAATAATTTCGCTCACAGCTGACACCCTGTCTATGTAAGTTAGAACATTATTATTGGAGTACGGTTATCTAGATTTGCCGCAGAATACAGTTATCTTCACATTATTTTATTTTCTTTCCTTCCCATTACGACATTATATAGAATTGCCGCAATTTACTTCAAATAAAATCGTAGCAAATTTAAAATAAGTTACAGTAAATCGTATCTAAGTAACCGCTGGCTTTGACTTGATTCGAGTCACTTATATTCTATTCTTTAATATTTAATATCAACAGTCAACTTGACAGCAATATGACGCAATTTTAAAATGCTTTTATACACATAAGAGTATTGTGAATTGCGAATCTTTAAAGCAAAAATTATGTAAAGAAAAAGAGTTATAAAGAATTTTATTCTTTTGTGTAATACGTATTACCAGCTCGGTAACAGTTTAATAGCTATGAAATGTATAAGTAATGTTGTAAACTGGAATATGTTTGACTTCCTTTGTTTCGCGTTACTTCAGGATCATGAAATGCAAAACGAACTACTTTTTCATGCTTTTCAGAGAGCGACCTCGTTCAGATTTTGATGAAATTTTATACTGAATATTTACTTGATATATATAAAGTATCAATACTCAAATGTTATACGACCTATATACATTGCGTTAAATAAGTTACTAGCTTTTTGCACGAAACCTCGTCCGCGTTAATTTCAAATTTAACGGGTCGAACTCTATTCCATCTTAGCGGCCGCAAATAACCAAATATTGATATTTATTAAGTATTTTTTGTTCTTTTTCGATAGAACAGAATTAAATATCTATGCCTGTCCCCTGGTCCTAAACTAATTTTCAACCATATCTCTATAGCCGTAATTGAAGTATATATAGTGTAACTAACATAATTTTCTTTTAAAGTTAGCTTATTTTCTTAAGAGTATGTAACATGTATTAGTAGTAGAACATAACTAGTTAGTTGCTAGTCTCGTATGTAACTTTTGTGTCTCGAGGCAAAGGAAACATTAGCAGATGACGCCTATTGTGATGAAGAGGGCGTTCGAATAATTTACCTACACCTGCTGATGTCATTTTAACATCGGATTTTAGTCATACAAATACCTATATTGATTTTATATTTATATACAGGGTGACTGGTGAATTACTATCAATATTTAAGGAGAATACTCGGTACATGATTCTCATTCGAATTATGTAAAAAAAATAGGTACTTAATTTTTGACAAAATTTCCGTATAAATAAATCAAGTGTGGACACGTTCCAAGTTTTCCAAGTGTGGCGGCGTGCTGATAAAACACCACGCCGCCGCACGCGTATGTGTGTGTGCGTGTGTATACCTAATCTATAGGGTGTTCACACGATGCGTAATTAATTACATAACTTTTGGTTAACTTTACTTAAAAGTTTATTAATATTTATGTTATATTAATTTTTATTTTGTCATATATGATCGTCAAATATCACGTCCTCAAGTATCGATAGTAATTCACCAGTCACCCTGTATAATTGACAGCTTTGTAGTATAATATTTGCTTTATACTACTTTTTATAGCGTAATTAAGGTTTTTGAATGTATCGACAATAGTTTAATCAAGTTGATTGACTATTGTATCGTATAATGTATCCGACCTTACTGATTGATCAAATTAACGGTTCGTTAATCTTATTCGAGGATGCTTATTACGTCACAAACATGAATTAGTTATTTTAGTATATAATAAGTAATGATATTTCGTTTCCATTTGTGGCCGTCAATAAATCATAATGGATGAGTGGAATTGCAATTAAATATGTGTTAAAAAAACTAATTACGAAAGAGCGTGAGATTATTTTCTATAGCATGGGAATAAGAAAGCTGTTTTTTCATTTTCATTTGTATTATCTTGTAGAAGTTTTCTTTAGTAAGTTTTACTTGCAATTTTGTTACATTCATCTTATTGGGGTAATTATTATAGATATTCTTCTATGTCTAGTGTATAAAGATTTAGAGGGTAGGTGAAGTATTGTAAATATTACTCATAAAAAATGTGCATTTACTTTGAAATGTTACTCAAATAGCGTTTTCACTTTTTGTTAATCTATTAACTTATATATCTACCTAAATTAGCTAATCTATATAGTCTTCGATATTTTTGTACCTTGAATGCTTTACCTTTTATATTGTGTTTTTGTTATAGATTACATCGCCAGGTACGGCCGAATGGCTGAGCAGGCTGCTCGTAGAAAGTTCTGGCAAATTCTGTCAGCAGTCGAATATTGTCACGAGAGGAGGATCGTGCATAGGGATCTCAAGGTTAGTTAGAAATTATTTTGTGTAAATAAACTACTATATTAAAAAAAATATTTTTAAGCTAACGCCGTAGTAAGAACTGTTGTGCTTAACTTAATAAAATGTTAAATAAAAATTGTATTATACTTGTTCTCTGAATTGCAGTTAAAATTTTTAACAATTTTTTTATAATATAAATATATTCTATGCAAAATCGTGTTCACTATATCCTAACGAGCATCAATGAATCTCATCTCTCAATCTCACAAACCTATCTCAAATCTTTAAGTTCCTTCGAAGATCATGTTAAACTGGTCAAAGTTTAATCAACATAGGTCTAGTAATGCAACTTTTCCTCCAGGCGGAGAATTTGTTACTGGATGCCAATATGAATATCAAGATAGCTGACTTCGGATTCAGCAATTATTACGCCACTGGGGAATTATTGGCCACTTGGTGTGGATCCCCGCCTTACGCCGCGCCAGAGGTCTTTGAAGGAAAACGGTATACGGGCCCTGAAATTGACATATGGGTATGTTATTTACTTAAATCTGATATACTGTTGAGGATAGTGCAAATCCGCGTAGCTACCATTGGGTAATTCCGCGTTGCTGCTTTTGTAATAGTTTTAAAGTGGATGATAAAAAAATATTTTTTATAGCGTAATTTATTACTCATTGTGAAAAAAATTAAAAATGTTTCAGTTTAAACCTTCTTCTGTTAATTTGAATCTACTGCAGATACGCGGAATTATCCAATGCTAGTTACGCGGATTTGCACTATCTCTCCCGATATGTAAATAACAAATAATGTATTGCGATTTTTATATGAAATATGTATATTCAGCTATAGAATATTCGATAACTAGGCTAAAGATATAAAGTTTACGTATCGTCTTATGTAAAACGTTTGCTAGATACTAAATAACTTTTTATGATGGCTTTGACGCAAATTTACTAAATTGAGCCACTAGTGATATATGTATTTTTATTTTGTGTTTTATATAAACAGCGTAACCGAAATAAAATTTGGATAGATTGACCTTGGAATTTCAATGAAATATCAGCCATATTTCAAGGGAAATAACGTTAAAAATCCGACTCCAAGTGAAAATATTTCCTAATTAGTTTGATAGCATTCCCCCGATATTCTCGTTGTCCACTCAAAATTACTTTGCTCGACCTCCGTCGTTATAATTAACAGTTAAGCGTTTCAAATATTTCTTAGAGTTTACGAAAAATCACTTTAATTATTTCAATTTAATAAAATGAGTATACATTATGTAAATGGTTTCTCGTTGATTAAATAAAAATGTGGTATTTTTAATAAGTATGAGATTGTTACTTGAACAGAATTTCGTCTTTGATAGTTAAAAATATTTGAATATACAAGTATTTTTAATTGAAAATTTTGCCCTTTGTAAAATTTGTAAGACTGAAAGGATTTTAATTTGTTACTGGCAATGCAATTTTTAAAATATGTTCGAAAATAAAACACTACAATTAAAACGATTTCTTTATGGTTGTGTAATCAAAGTATAATTACAAAAAATCGAAATAAACTCTATTCGATTTTTTATCATTCAATGAAAAATTCAATTTGTTTCTCCCCGAAAAAATTTATACAAGTTAAAAAAAGAATTTCGTTTATACTTTCCAAAATTTAATACAAGAAATTCAAATATCGAACACGCTTAATTCAAATAAAAAATTAAATTCGTTCATTCTTCAAAACGAAAAATTTGAAATTTGAATTTGGAACACTATTTACGATTAATATAATTCCAGAGCCTGGGGGTAGTGCTGTACGTGTTGGTGTGCGGCGCGTTACCCTTCGACGGCTCCACGCTGCAGTCGCTACGGGACCGCGTTCTGTCTGGAAGATTTAGGATACCGTACTTCATGAGTGAGGGTGAGCGTTTGAATTTGGAACACTGAAAATTTCTTTATTTTTTTTATTTTATTTATGATATGACACAAAGGAGGTATAATATTAAGAAAGAAATCTTTTTTTATATGATACATTCAAACACGTATGCCTAAATATAAAGTGATATATTTTTCTGTACTAAATTTCTACATTTTCGAAGTAATGGAATTAAGAAAAGTTGTTATCTAATTCAGTTAGCACGAATCCGAAGTAATTTACTCCGTGAGTAGTTTCTTGAGAGATTTAACTCGAATAGTCTTGACAGTCACATTAGTTCAAAGTTTATCTGTGATCACAAATTGGATTTCAGGATTTAGTTAAACAATTTGTTGTATTCAATGAATTATAAGACTTGTATAATAATCTTTTATATTTATTTAGTTTTAAAATATATTAATATATATTTATCTATTAATACTGAACATATATTGGTTGAATTACTTAATACTTTTTTTTTTCTTTTTACAAACTTCGTTTTATGTCTACTAGTATATAATATTCATAAACAAATAGCTCTAGTAATATTTCATATTTAACCTTTGAGTTACAAAATGATATATTATTACAGCGTGGTATTTTTAAATTCTTAATACCTAACACTCGGTACACGATTTCTTTAACCTTTAAACAATATCAATTTTAAATCACTAACTGTAAATAAACATTAATTATTGTGCAATTCACGGATATGTATATATATATAATAATATTTATATACTTATATGCGGTTATTGCGTCATAAAGCACATGCAAATTTTATTAAAGTAGGTAAATACATATAATATGTCGTATCGAAAAAGGAAACATATTTTCTGAACATATAAAGAAAAATCTATATAAAAGACCATTTATATGGATATAAAATAATTCAATAGAATATGTACGCTATAAAAAGAAATGTTTTGATTTGAGGGATATTTAAAATGTATGGATTATAGTATTGGTCTGGTTAAATGAAAAAGATTCACTTGAATGCGATACTTTAAAATATTTACCATTAATAAATATAATTATAACTCCCTAACAAAGTATAAAGTTGTTATTATTATATTTTATTACTCGGTAAGTGCGAATGTACGTGATATTGATTATTGAATGATATGTTGAGATATGTGTACTTAAATCATGGGTCTTTTAATGGTCAAAATATCTTGTACCACACACACACACACACACATACATATATATAAATATATATAAGGAAGTCTGTGTGTACAACAAACAAAACAAATCATTATAACATTCCATATTACTCAAACCGTACTTAGGTATTCTACGTTAACTTATTTAGCGCTGTCGTGTTAATAAATGTACCCTAGACTTTTAAGTAAATGAGACTTGAAAATTTTCCATATATATTTGGACCAACTCGTCTTTATTGTAACATAATTAATATATACTGATTTTTTTTTTATTATATCATAGTATATATGTATCTATTAAGTCAGTGGTGGCCTAGTGGTTAAAAGGCCCGCTCCTCATGCACGAGGGTGCGGGTTCGATCCTGGCAAGTACCAATGTGATTTTTCTGAGTCATATGTACTTTCTTAGAGTATTTAGACATCACTGATTAATGCATTCCCAAAGAGAATTGATGTCAGGCAGGCGGCCGGTCGTAAAAACAATTAGGCAAAACTATTCACAACATGTAAGGCAGACCCTGGCTAAAGCTGGGAAATTGCCAGGTAGAAGAGTATATATATTATGATTTTTAGTCTTAAAGTATAAACCAAACATTTTATACGTATATCTTTTGAATCAATAAATTTGAATGAGGTTGTCATAGCATCTTGTGCTGGGCTGGACGCAAACAGGATTCCCAGCCCCCTGCCAGTCAGGCGAGGTCGGAGCGCCACTGGGTTATTTTAGTGGGTATACCGGGAATCCTTTTCCCGGGGAGTCCCACATACCCCTCTCCGTCTTCAACGGAGAGGGGATGCGTAAAGCATTTTTTCCCAGTGCGCACAAAAAAAAAAAAAAAAAGCATCTTGTGCTGGTTAAAATAATAGATAATATATTTATATATATACATAATAATAATGGTATCGATAAGCCGCTTGATAAAATACTTGCGTCATAGGCATGTTCGATCATGCATTTCTCACACCGGTCTTGTTAATGTTAGGTCTTCAGCATATGTACATGTAATTAATATTATTATATAGAAAGTTTTGTATATGGACGACCTCTTGTGACTTATTTACGAATTTTTCTTATAATTAGAATAAGATTATATTAAGGTATATTTTAAACACCAACCCATCTTGAGCAAGCGTGGTGATTAATGCTCAAACCTTCTCCATGTGAGAAGAGGCTACGCTCAGCAGTGGGCTCTGATAGGCTGATGACGAAGGTATATTTTATAAGTAATTAGACATTTTCATACGATTCATTACTATTTAATGCATACATGTATGTATTTTTATCTATTTTTACCATATACATAGATAGTATCCGCTAGAATATCTTATAATATTTTTTTAATGTTCTCGTGCGTCCGATTTCAAAATTTACGTAGACGAGGTCACGGAAAAAGCTAGTCTTAAAATAATTACCATTTATTTTGCATGCAATTTTAATTTTCGTTGCACACTTATTTGATTTCATAACTTGTATGTTGAAATTGGAAAGCTGAAGTATTCATTACATATATTCAATTCACGGAAGCAATAGATTACATATCAATAAAAAAGTATTACAATATGACATAATTATTTTATACGAAATTAGCCTTTATATTGTTAAGTATACAGATGAGTTTGGTATATATGAATAAAATTTTCGTTTTCAATATTTCATAATGTTGTAGACTTCTTCTACCTGGCAATTTCCCATTTAGCCAGGGTCTGCCTTCCTGCTTAAACTCCTTCACTTTGCACTTTGCTTTGCAAGAAGTTCATATTTTAACTTGTTAGTGTGTAATATAAAGATTATAATCAATAGTTTAGTTTATAACATATGATTTTTGATATAAATGCTTTCAATTAATGACATTCACATCTCGTCTGTCCGTGATCACGGTTGCTGAAAAGTAGCTGAAACGTCGGGAGTATGTAGTTTGCTTACAAAAATAATGTCGCGTAGTGTATCCAAAAAATATTAGTTTCATTTAAGTTTAATTTAAAAATTACTTATAGAACTCTATCTATGTAATATGACTTTAGTTTCTAAAGCCGTTCTTCCTATATCACCTTCGTGATAACCATCTACGTCCTATTTCCATATCTATAGATATAGTCGAGATGGTAATCACTTTATAATGTATCTAATATCACACAAAGACGTCAACAACGTTGAAATTATAAGCTAACATTACCGTAGTGACAATTGACGCACATAAAATGTACAAAGAAATGATAATATCAATTATTGTTTAAATATTGAAGTGTTATATATATATATATATTAAGACATTTTGTTTAACACTTTAATTTCCTAAACACTTGACTCTCTATGACGTTTGAAACAGAAATAGAAATAGTATCGTATTGAGTATTTTAATGTTAAATACGTCTATACAGATTTGACGTAAGAGAATTTACTCTATATATAATACATATTAATAAAATCAGTTTAATTTTATACATATCAAAATACTAATAAATAATCTTTAGGTCTATATATATTAGAACTAAAATGAGTTTGTTAATTGAGTAGTATTAGAATTTATCTCATGAGTAAAGATGTCTTATTAAGGAGTATACGTGTGGTCCTTTGAGACTCGGCCTTGCTCGAGTAACATTGGATCTCGAAAATAACCTTAAAGGCACGTGTTTGGAATATAATAAACTGAATACATATACAAACATTAAATTACTTATAACACGTAAAATATAAAAATCTATAAGAATAAAAATATTCTATTAAATCTATTTTAAATAAAAAACGATTATACTCGTAATAACTTAATTGCATTTTATGTTTACGATTTTTTATTAAAATACAGACCGTTACAAAAGCTCATAAAAATAACGTCACATTTATTTTCCCTTTCAATTTCAAGTAATTATGTAGACTATAAAAATTAATTCTATAAAAAGAAATAGAACATTAAAATAGGATTAAGTATTAAAAAAATGTTTACATAAAAATAATATTACAGATACAATCGACAGATTACAAAATGACTAGACTATTTTTTATCTATGGTAGAATCGTTTGTGTTCGTTCTTTACCTCAAAATTATTACGTAAATATATTTTTTATTACATTTTGAAATTGTAACGTTATTTGTAACATTATTAAAAAATAAATAAAAAACTATTTAATTATATGTTACGTCATGTAACGTATCGTAATATGGGAGCCCGTTGATTTAACGCGGGAATTATTAAAAGCCTTTCATGCGACGTTTTGCTGTAAAAAAAATTAATATATAAACGGCACAGCGACGCGACGTTTACGTCATACATTCTCGCCGCTACAAATATGTGTAAGCATTTCAATTTTCCTTCGTGAGTTATTAAATTTTGGTGGCCAGAACAGAATAGAACGAAACCGCAACATGCGTCAGCATATTCACCATTTATGAGAAATATCTTAATTTATATCCATCTACGAAAGTTAACATTTATTTATAATTAATTAGATTTGACATTGAAAGTGCGTCACGGACGTCTGTAATGTTTTATGGGAAGCTATTCGCTGGCAAGTAACATCACTAGATGACGCGACGCCGTGGCACCAATATTAAGTGCATCAAGTTCATGGCACAACATGGCCGCCGGCGCCCACTTTCCACGGTTTTATTAAAAACCCTCGCACATTTTTCACACTATTGCGTCAATGGTGATTCGGGCACGCGATATTTGCGTCCGAGCGTCTATAAATAGTAACGCCTGGCGAAAACTTGACCACTCATCAGTTTTATTTTGGTTTATTTTAGTATCAAGTAAATAAAATAGTATGAACCTACTCCAAACGCGACTTTCCGTATCTATTCCCGTACAATCTATAATCGTGAAGCGATTATTTATAATCGTATCCGTCACATTATCCGGATAAAATTTATCATGGATCTAAGTAAAGAAATCGTATCGATTGATAATATATTTATATGAATTTATTTTCGGTTTATTTATTCATATCCAGACGTCAAACCGCTTGATGTACTGATCATGTATGTGTTAGTTACTATGAAATATACAAATGTTTCCTAAATTATTCACTCTCACTCACTCAGCCTATAGCAGTCCACTGCTGGACATAGGCCTCTCCCAACACGCGCCATAACAGTCGGTCCTCTGCCTTCCGCATCCAGTGAGACCCAGCGACCTTTTTAAGGTCATCGGTTCTACGTTTGCCGAGACGCGGTCTCCACTCAAGGACACGCTTGCTCCACCGTGCGTCGGTCCTTCTGCAGATGTGACCAGCCCACTGCCACTTCAGCTGGCTTATTCTACGAGCTATGTCGGTAACCTTAGTTCTTCGTCGGATTTCTTCGTTTCGAAGTTTGTCCTTCAAAGAAACGCCGAGCATAGCTCGTTCCATAGCCCGCTGAGCGACTTTGAGTTTGTGGACTAGTCCTACAGTGAGTGTCCACGTCTCAGCCCCGTAGGTCATAACCGGTAGGACGCATTGGTCGAAGACTTTGGTCTTCAGGCATTGCGGTAAAGGCGAGGAGAAAACCCGACGTAATTTGCCAAACGCTGCCCAACCTAGCTGAATCCTGCGATCGATTTCCTTCTCGAAAAGCTGTATAACTTGTCCAAGGAGGTATACTCTTGTCGAGAACCGATCCGTCGACATAAACCGGTCTCGGCACGACATGTTCGTTGAACATAATCTTGGTTTTATCCAAGTTCATGCCGAGACCAACGCGTCGTGAGGCTCCATCTAGGCTGTGCAGCATTTCGCTCAGCTGTTCCAGTGACTCCGCAACGATGACGATATCGTCGGCAAACCGAAGGTGTGAGATGTACTCGCCATTTATGTTAATGCCCCGTCCAGTCCAGTACGTCTTGAAGACGTCCTCGAGCGCGTTGGTAAAGAGCTTGGGGGATATTACATCCCCCTGCCTTACCCCTCGGCGCAACTCGATTGGTTTGGTCTTTAGGTCCTGGAGCTGGACGGTCATGGTAGCGGTTTCATAAAGACATCTCAACACCTCGATATAGCGCCAATCGACGCGACACCGCTGCAGAGCATCTAGAACTGCCCAGGTTTCGATGGAGTCGAAGGCTTTTTCGTAGTCCACAAAAGCCATACACAGCGGCTGATTGTACTCCTCGGTCTTCTGCACAATCTGCCGAACAGTATGGATGTGGTCTACAGTGCTGTAGCCTTTTCGAAACCCGGCTTGTTCGGGTGGCTGGAACTCGTCGAGTTTTCTGGCGAGGCGGTTTGTGAGTACTCTCGAGAACAACTTGTAGATGTGGCTCAGGAGTGAGATGGGTCTATAATTCTTCAGCAAGGTTTTGTCGCCTTTTTTGAAGAACAGAACCACCGCACTCCCGCTCCACGCCCGAGGTGTTAAGCCCTGGTGGATGACGGAATTAAAGAGACTCGCTAGCTCATTCAGGACCGGTGTCCCGCCCGCTTTTAGGAGCTCTGTCGTGATTCCGTCATCCCCTGGGCACTTGTTGTTCATAAGTTGCTCAAGAGCAACTCGAACCTCGCCCTGGTCGACATCAGGGATGTCTTCGGTGTAATGGCGCGCGTGAGTGGGGCTCTGTGGTCACAATCGCTAGATCTCGTTGGTTTGGTCATCCGTGATGCGTAAAGGCGTTTGTAGAAACTCTCAATTTCCTCTAGAATCTCGAACTTAGAGGTGACGGTTTTGCCATCCGCAGTGTTAAGTTTCGTCAGATGAGTTCTACCAAGCTGGCGAGCGAAAACTTTGGTGCCTCTGTTTTGCTCAATAGCATCCGCAATCATGCGGGTATTGAAGCAACGGAGGTCACGTCGCACCAATTAGGTTTCTCCCATCCGACGAAGACGATTGCGTTGATGACATTTCTCGTCTCTGCCTCATTAGTTCGAGGGTCTCGAGTGAGAGTTTAGTATGCCCTTTTACGCTTTTTCCGGGAAACACCGTTCGAGATACCTCCTGAAGCGTTTTGACCACTGTGTCGGTCTTCTCGTCAACATTGCTAAGGGTTTCCAGTAGTGCGAAACGATTTCGAAGCTCCAATTGGAACTTTTCGGATCTCATTGCCATTTGAGGCGCAGTAGGTCGGAGTGTAGACTTCATCATGCGACGCCTTTCGGCTTTGAAGTTTATATTCAGAGTGCCTCGGACAAGTCGGTGATCGCTTCCGGTATTAAACCTATTGATCACTGAGACGTCTCTAAATATGTACCTCTTGTCTGTCATAATGAAGTCAATCTCGTTCCTCGTCGCAGTATCGGGGCTTCGCCAGGTCCACTTTCTATGGGGCTTCTTCTTCATTAAGAAGAGCCCTTGTGACTCCAGAAAGTTGACCAGCATCTGCCCCCTGTGATTTCGGCACCCTACGCCATGGGATCCGATTTTCGTTTCGCCGCGTTCCTGTACTCCCACTTTAGCATTAAAATCCCCCATAACAACATTGTAGTGAGCCTTGGTTTACCATGTAATGCCTTAGCTATGTCTTCGTACATGGCTTCGGCAACGTCGTCACAATATGTCGAAGTCGGCGCATATACCTGTACCACCTTCAGGAAATGCCTGTCGGTGATTTTAAGTATTACGCTACCCTTGTCGACACACTGTTGACCTCCACAATGTTGTTAGTGAGAACTCTATTAACAAGAAAACCCACACCGCCCTGAGAGGCCCGATCACCTTCCCGGAAGTAGAACTGGTGGCCTGACTCAAGGGTTATCGTATCCTCCCCCTTTCTTCGGACTTCAGATAACCCCAATATGTGCCAGTTTATGCGACCTAGTTCTACTTCCAGTTCGGTGAGGTGTTGGTCCAGCCGTAGAGAGCGTCCATTGTACGTAGCCAGGGTCAGTTGGTTTTGGTAGCCTTTTCCCGTAACCCGGAGATTCTTCGCACCCCCTGTCCCGCCGTTACCGCGGCCGCTACCGTGACAACGGGCAGCGGGACTACCGGGAACGAGGGGCCTTTTCTTATTAGTATGGTCCATGTTAGGAGGTATAAGCCATACTATACCACGCTGGCTAGACGGGTTGGTATAGGGTTTGTTTCGAATTTTCCTTTTCTGGTATAGGTAGTCTTTACGTTTTCCCTTAGTCGCCTTGTACGACACCCACGGGAGGAGATGGGGTAGCGACAAATGTATTCTAAAGCCGTCGCTACACGTCCTAAATTATTAATAAACACAAACAAAACAATGAGTTTGTTAGCTATTATTGGAAGATTAGAGCGTATCTTGGACTTATTGTAAACCGAAGCATTAAAGAAAGTCTTCAATAAAAATGTCTCTACGGAATAAATTTTATAATCATAAGTATTCTTACAATTTTGCTAAACAAATTGGTAGTTTTTCGTCGATGTCAATTGGTATTTTAGTATTATTTATTTTTATATCTTTACTACGTACTAGAAACTTGAACGTTTGACAAATATTTGACATATTATTATCCGACACGTACTAAATATAATATTGTGAATCAACATTACAAATTACAAATAACGTTATGGAATTGTGGATAGTAATTGTTATTTAAAACATATACACAAATATATGAAATAATAGATATATTGTACATATATTCATTTAGTTCAAATATGAATTATAAAAGAAATACTAGGAAAATAATGTATTGTTAGTGTTTTATATACGAAAATATATTTATAACGTTATTGCGTACGTATAAATCAAAATCTCGACAGATTCCGTTATTGAATTGAATATGTAAGGAGGTACTAACTCTGTTTACTCTGCTACACTTTCAAGGCTATTACAAAGGAAACCGAATATTCAATGGATTCGACTACAGAAAAATCCGTTAACACGTCAACGAATAAAATAATATTATTATTACCAAATAAATCTATCTAATAGATTAAGTACACTTTAAATATTAATACGCTTAGGGTTCAGTATAAGCTTTCAGCATAAAATCGAGCGTATTCATGTCACCCCATAGCGTAGTTTCCGTTATAAGGGGTTTGACCTTTGACCTTTCGTAGGGGGTGAAACAGCCACTTCGAGTACATCATCAAATTGAGTCACCCAACTAAGCTGCCCTAATATGAAAATCCAATCTAATATCCGCTTATTGAAATGACGCTAATAAACGAAGCTTTTATATTTGGCATTGCATTTACGTCACAAAGAAAAGAGATTTATGTATGCAATATAATTTAACAATAAACACGTCATTGGAGATAAAATAATGATAAGTTTGTTTTATTTATTATTATACTTAAAATTTTACAGTACACGTGCCATTACATTTATTGGTATTTGAAAATTAATATAATGTACCTATGTAGTAAGGCATAACGTTAGATTTTTCAAATCCAGAACTCACTTCAATTATATTAGTGATATTTTTTATTCTACTTTGATTTAGGGATTAGATTCTACACTAGTACTATAACATACACTTAGTTATTTAAAAAAAAACACACACATATTAATTGATCAGCTGTAATGCAAAAATATTGTAGTTTATCCCGACAAAATATGTCATAGAACACTTTGTAGATAGCCAACAATCATATTTTAAATTATTTAAAAATAATTGTCTTATTCTTGGTATTGACAAATTATATACTAGAAGTAACTCCAACGAAAAATATTTTTGTCACAGAATGCGAGTCTCTCATTCGGAAGATGCTCGTCTTAGAACCTATGAAGCGGTACACGATAGAGCAAATCAAGAAGCACAGGTGGATGTCCACGGAACCATACACTGCGCCTTCAGTGGCCGCCGACCCTATGAGAAGCCCCGCCCACGTGGCACACCACAGCCAGGAACCGAACGAACAAGTCCTGCGATTGATGCAGAGCTTGGGCATAGATCCAGTCAAAACCAAAGAGGTACATACATTATATAATATTCGTCCTCATATAATGTGCAAGTCCATATTCCCATATCGGTATAACTCCAGTAATACCTGGGGTTCACAAGAGTTTCTTTCACCAGAGCCTTCGCTCGAACAGTTACGATCACCACGCGGCGATCTACCTGCTACTGTTGGAAAGGCTGAGGGCGAGGGCGGGAGATAGGAGGAGGAGGCCTTCCTCCGTCGAGGCTAGAGAGGACTCAAGGAGGGAACACCATAGGTAATGTAATATATTCTAACTTAACATGTAAATAACAACAAAAAATTTATACTACAAATAACGATGAAGTACGGAGTTACTATTGATTTCATGTCTGTTACATAGCTGTCTGGTTTTACTTCGTTTGATACGTTATTTGATTTATCATACAGCTCTACTACAAAACAATTTATGCTATTTTTGAATAATTCGGTACTTTATTGAATTTCGTTTACATAATCACTTTCATCATTAATCTCATAATGTACTAGAAAGAAAATAGAAAGCATTTTTATTGTAAATTCATAGATTTTATTATAAAATTCCAGGTTATTACACGGCGAACAGTCCCGCGAATTCCGGGCCCCCACAGACTCGTCTGCCGAGACCCAACGGTTGCTATCTCTGGCTGCTGTTAATATGACTGAACAACGTCTACGAACAGATCCAGACACTCACAGAAGCTTCCTTGTAGCAAACCTGGACGTAAAGAACCCGGAAATAGAATCAAATAGACTCTCAATGAGGAACATCGAGGTGGCGCAATCCAGTCAACGATTAGGAAAACTGAATGAACCAACACATAGATTGCTCACATCCACGTATGAACAGCAGCAGAATATACTGAAACAGTCCAGCGAAGATTGTAGACGACTGTTGCAGCAATCGACAACCGTTGGTCCAGAACCCAATAAGGCTAATGATGGAAGGCTTTTGACGTCATCTAGTTTCGATTCCAAATGCGCTATCGACGGTGGTAGGAATACTGCGATGGCTGACCATAATGTTATAGCAAATTTTCTTCAAAATTCAGCCTCTGCGACCAACTTCAGCGTGGAGTCCATGAAAATACCGAATTCGACGACTTTCACCATGTGCTCAGAAGCCGCGAAACTTATGAACACTTTACAACAATCGCCGTTACCTCTTAAAGGTACGGTAAATTTGAGCAGCAGTCCGATACCATCCCAATTTGCCGAGTCGAAGCTAAGCTGTGTTTTAGAACAACAAAAGCCGCTCGAATCCACTAGATTGGTCTCACAGGCCCAGCAACAGGATTTAAATAGATTGCAGACAAGTACTCCCCCATTCAAAGAATACATGAACGCTCATCCGAGTTTTTCCTACCTACAAAACGCAGTTGTACCATCGGATGCAAGTTTCTCCATATCTTCAACATCGAATGATTTATTTCCCAACAGCCTCTACAGGCCGGACAGCAAATTTTCTTTGAATCGCTACACGACCGGACAAACATACAACCAAGTACTACCCGCGAACAACGAGCCTACAAAATTTCAGCAACAGTATTCTTCCTCGACTGATGAAGGTTGTGAGACAGATATGGAGGACGTTCCCGCTATACAAAACAGTGTACAAAATAGACTGAGCTCCTACGCTAGTTCTAGTTCTAGTAGTGGTGTTGTGACATTTTTTAATAACAAGAGTCTCAGTCAAAACCTCAGCTGCGATTCATCTCAGAGCAATTTCTCGACATTCGAAAGTATTGATTATCAGTTGTCAGATTGTTCGAGTGAATTGGCTAGTAGTTTACCAAGCTGCACTTCCAACGACGATAAGGCGACATATGAAAACAGTTCATTAGTAAATACAAGTCCGATGCATCCATGCGTATATATTTCCTCGTATAATAATAAAAATAACGGTACAGGATTCATTGCGCGTCATAATCCAATCAATTATCAGTCTGCTAATAAAAATTGTACGCGAGATATAACACGAAGTCCCGTCGATTTTCGTGAAGGTAGACGAGCTAGTGACGGTTTAGTTGCACAACAAGTACAATCCAGTGATGCACAGAAAACAACACTAGCATTCAACAGTCAGAGATTAAACGAAAGTTGTAAAGCAAAAGGCGTATTGGAATTGCATCTCGTGCAAAAAGAAGCACAGAAATTGAAAACTCAGTATCAATCGTCTCTACCAGCTGAAGAGATGACTCAAAGGCAAATCCAGCACAATCAATTCGCGGCTACATTTACACCGCACTTTTTGGATACCAAAAATCCCACCCCCAAGCGCATAAGTCTACCGGAGTCCTTCAACTATTCGAGTACCTCACCACCTATGCCGGCTAGTCCTAAAATGTCACTCCAAGAAGCCGATTTAACACATACCTCTCTATCCCAAGTTAGTAAGCCGCCATTGCAACAGCAGTTAATGCAGCACAGACTCTTCCAACAGAAGCGACAGCTGCAGAAACAAATGACCCCTACCAATGTACACGAAATGGGACTCCATAGTCTTCAAGTCGGTCTCAGCCGAAGACAGATGCTACGACAACAAAGCTACAAGATCGCTCAACAGCAACAAATATTACCACCATTACCACTAACAGAAACAGAAAACCGCGATCTGCTAGCCTTCCAAGCGATAGTCGAAGATCCGAACAGAATCAAGGACGAACAAGATGAGAAATTCTCATATCAAGGCTCAATGGATATAACTATACACAAGGACAGGCTTGGCAATGAGAACTGGTCGAATTTACCGTCCAGTTTACAAAGCGCCTGTCAGATATCCGATATGGGAAGGAAAGAGACTTCAACCGAAGGAGAAGGGATATGGGGGGGTCACAGTCAGTGGTCGACAACATTATTCCAGCCGCAGGCTTGTTTCCAGGTATTCCAACAAATCAACTAGTAGATCTCCACTGTATTGAGTAGACGGTAGATTCGCACGTGGCATAGATTTAGAAAATACCAGAAGTTCCCAAACAATATCCGACTATGTGTCAGCTAGATGGGATTTAGGTTAACGTGAATATTCATATTCCGTAAGCATGGACTATAGAATGCATGACAATAAATAGTGCTTTAAAATTAATTTGTATCACATTTATATTAACAACACAAATGTTACAACAGTATATTATCACACAATGATATTGTGAACATTTATATGTCTATATATAAAATTTGTTTATGAATTGTATTCATTATATGTATGTAATCCATAAACATCATTTTTTTATTCATTCCTTGTATTCAGTACTGATGGCTAAAAATCTTATTTAATCAATTCCAGCAACTTTAACTTGCCAAATATTGTGTTATATTAAATGTATGATAAATTGCATTTTAAATGTACTTCAAATATCACTCTTATAATGTTCCTACATAATATAAACCCAATACATTATTAAATCTAGTGTTAAGTGACTATTTATTAATATGTATAAGTCTAGCTCCAAAAATAGTTTCGTTTGTGAGTTTGTATACAGGTTTTTATTATTATTTTGCTAAATATAATGTAATTCTTTGTAAGATGTGATAGCTTTACTTAGAAGCAAGTTTTATTTAAAATACAAGTATATGTAAAACAGAATAGTTATTGTTTTATTTGATCACCTTATTTTTGCTTTTTATTAGTTGACACAACTGCATGGTATTCAATAGATTATATAGAAAATTTACACCGGAAAAAAAATAGTAATTTGGCGGTATTGATAAAATTGCAGCTGTAAATGTTTTTTAATTTATTTAAAAAGGTAAAAAAAGACTTAATTTTATTTTTTAACTTGCAACACAGTGAATTAGAATCATATTAGAGTTTAAAATTGAAAAATAAACACACAATATTATGTATTTCTTACAATAGTATTTTTGATGTATTTAGTTGTAACTTATATATTAATTATTTTTCAGTCAACCTGGCAAGGTCACAGCCTGCCTCCAACTACAAATATGCTGCCACTCAGTGAGAGTCCTATATTGGAACTAACTGAGCAAATGGAGTCAATTTAAGCAATAAACAATGTATTTCAATATTTATATCACAAACCAATTATTTTATACGTTCTTATATGGATTTTTATACATTCCAAAACAAAATGTTTGTCACATTGACATTTTGTCATCAAAAAATATCCGTCTCGAACAATATATAATGTATGTAATTATTATCTTTGGTAATCACATGCAAATTCAGGTGCAGATTAAAAATTGTTGAAATTTTGTGAAACTTGTTTAATGCTTGTGATTTCACGTTACCTGATATTTTGAAAATATTTTATTGATAATATGACGAGTCATTTCACAAAAAATACATTGTCCTTTATATTGTAATAATAGAAATAAAAAGCAACACGACAATATCAAAATAGGTTAAATAGTTACGGCTTATTAGGTAATTTTATTGAGCATATAGTTAGTAATGGTAGTCACTTTGAACAGCATTTTATGGTATTAATTAATCTTTATATAGTTAAGTATAAAATAATTCCAAGGTTTTGTAGTCGTGGTTTTGTAGTTTTTTATCAATAATAGTTAACCTAAAAGGATATTGAAACAAGAATCCAAATACTTATAAAAAAGTAAGTGTGGATGGCGGGTATACTTATATTGCTTATGCTTTACCAACAAAAACAAGAATAATGATAATTTTTGTTATAATTAAGTTATTTGCAAGAATTGGAATTGTGTTGTGGCTATTGTTAGGCTACGAAAGCAATGAGTCCCTGTACATAAACTACCTCCTAATTAATATTTTTAGAAACAAGACTGAATTCAGTGTCAATTCAGAACAGTTATTTCTGCAACCGAAACATCTCAAGAAGTTCAAGAATGAATATTACAATTTTCATTATAACATTCAATTTTATTTTTCTTGGAAATGTTTTTACTGCTCTGGAGAGTCCCTTTGAGACTTATGACATTCAACATTTTAAATTGTTGCCACAGATGATCATAATTTCATTGATGCGTATAACCTTACTAAATTTTAATTGTTTTATTGCAAATTAATTAGACATATCAAATTAATATATAAAATTAATTACTTTTAAGTATCAAATTTTAAGTACCTATTTATCGCTCTAAAGGGGTGATATTATAAAATCGGTATTGAATAAAATCTCCGGTGTTGCAAAATATATTATGTTTAGAACACACTTGACATATGATTATGATTTATGATACATGAACAATTTAAGTTATTCCTTAGTAAATAAATATGAAATTTGTGGAAATTGTGGACGAATGATCAGTGAAAGAACTTTCTTATCTCACTTTGGTACCGATTTGTTCTTTGTGTTGAGTGAGGGATCGTCTTCTATGATTAATTAATTTATTTAATACAACTTTTAAAATAAATTAAAAGGTATGGTATATATATATATATATATATATATATGTTTTAATTTACAAATAGTTGTATATCTTTTGGTTGATATTAATAAATATAGTTATACATAGCATGAAAAAAATAATTATCTTCGTTCTAATTTAAGCAAGACAATTACCACGTTTTGTAATGTACCAGTACAATTTTAGAAATGATTTGAAACATTAAGTTATTTATGTTATATGTTATTTTCTATTTAAAAGAACCTAACAAGACACTATTAATGTAATATGCATATTTTTGAATGGCAAATCTTCAAACTCACTATTATAACGTTTCACTTAGATTCCGATACGTTTATTTTTTTCTTTGGTGGGACACTTGGAACTCAAAACAAAATATTTGTTATTTTTATGATCTCGCACGTAATTCATCTTAAATTGGCCAAATAATTTCATGATTACTTGTTATAAATTATTTTTTTTTTTTGATAAGGACACAAGTTACTTTGTGTTGAAACATTTACAATGATTTACGTCAGATAATATAAATCAATACACAAGTTATAATACATCGTTCTGAATTACTAATTCAATGATGTTTTAAGTATTTACGTATTTTCTTGTAACCGTTTATAGGTTACAACATCTATCTGTCATATATTATTCAAAATCCGTTTTTTAATGTATAAAAGCGTCGATATGATCTATACTTAATCGTATTTAGCTGTAATATTCTGCCGAAAAAGGTGTACCAAGCTTTATCGAAATACAACAATAAATTACATACGTAAGAAATGTTACATTTTAGTAGTTAATATTAATATAGGCGAAAGTAGCATAGGTGTTTTGAAGCTTTTACACAAATAAGAAAATCGTCACTATTATATTCCGTCATTATTATAAATTCATGTTAATCGCATTTAATTTTAGGAAAATAGGTCAGTAGTGAAGTTATTCTCTGGCAAAAAAGTAGAAGTCGTTGACAATACCGCACTCATCTCGTTTGTATAAATTTACAATTATTTTCATTTATATTGTACTTATGTATGTAAGTAGTTTTTAGATGAGCCTGTATACAATTCTTAGCTAAATGACAAGAAAAAAAGAGTTTTTTTTTTTGGTTTTATCAATCATCCTGCTATTTCATTTCGGTTGTGACTGCCAAAAACAAGTTTGTTCGTATATGAGTATGTAACATTTGAAATAAAACCCTACACAAAATTAAACGTCATTTGCTTTTACATCCTGTTTATCTCATCTACAATAAAACTATTTATTAAAAATATATATTAATTCGGCCAAAATTATATACAAATATGTTTATTGCACGTAATATGTATATTTTTGTGGTAATAATATCAATACATAACAAGACTCATAATAAAAATCTTAGTAAAATAATGTTATAAGACAGTAATATTATTATATGTGGCTGAAGCAACAATAGTAAGATAATTCGTTATCACCCAAACCTTTATCTTTAGGGATGTAACAATCTTGAAATATCGATTTTTAATAAGTGGGTCGATGTTTATGTGATGTTTGTTTTCAGTTTTAAGTAATCGGAATGTATTGTATCATTCTAATTGGTTTTTAATCTAAAACTATATTAACCTAGGTATACATGTCTTCATTACAAATTCAAATTATCCATATATTCAACTGCATCAGAATTCATACCCGTCACACGAGGCATTATCAAATGTTGCAGGCAACGAAATATTTAAGTAATGTATTATTTTTCTTTTTTCTTTTATTATGAATGGACAGGTTGCCTAAACATTGGACTCTTAGACTACTGTCTTTCAATATATGCTTAGTAGTTTTGTATTTAGCCTTGGTGAAAATCCGATTAAAACACTGTGATCGAACCATTCATCCAGAATCCAATACCATTTTGTATCACCATTCAGACAGACAACTATCGTTGTGAGTTTTAAAATGTAAGGAAATAACAATTTAATTATTAATTATGGTTTTAATCCTTTCGTCTCTATAGTATGCTACATTATGCCTAAATATCGATATAATGCAAAAATCTAAATATTGCTCCATCCCTCTTTATCTAATCGCAGTATAGATTGAAATATTTATTTTTATTTTAATACAGACAAAATATTGTAGGAGCCCTTATTGGAATATTATTTGTTGGTAAAAGATGTCAAAAATAACAGAATTGATTTCAAACTCGGAAAACTTTTCGTATTCGTACGAAGTGACTCCATCTATAAGTTGGGAGGAAATCAAGAGCATAGATGTAGTACCACGATTCTTCTCAGTAACCTGGCACCCACAAGAACAGGATTTAAAGAGCTTTGATATCAGTTTTGCACCCTTGAAATTGGCTGCGGACCTAAAAACTGCAGGACATAATGTTTTATTACATGTTTCCTGCAGCTTCATGACGAAAAAATATCTACATAAACTTTTAAAGTTTTTAGAAGAAATTGGCATTTGTAACCTATTAATAATAAGAGGTGGTTAGTATTTTTATACCTTTATTACGACTTTTGGATGCAAAATTTTTTTGTTTTTATTTTTTCTGCATCTAGATTTTTATTCTAATCTGTTTTAATTGAGGTAAGCGGTAACAATGTAGGTAAGAGGTTAGAGGTATATAATTTAAATTCTTATTTTAACTATATTTATTAACATCGTTAATTAACTTTTCAGAAAACTATGATACCACAAAGTCGGAGTTTACAAGCCAGGAATTAATAACCTATATAAGAAAACTCACTGGAGATTATTTTTGTATTGGAGTTGCTGGTTTTTTAGCAGACGATGAGAAGCTTCTGCTATTAAAAGAAAAAGTCGATAGTGGTGCAAATTTTATACTTACTCAGGCATTTTTTGAGCCTATAATGTTTAAAAATTTTGTTTTGCAATGTCATGAAATTGATATAAACACTCCTATTATACCAGGTCTATTCGTTTTTGAAACAGAAGTTCAACTCGACAAGTTTATAAGTTTATGTAAAATTAATCTATCCACAAATGCATTGGAAAATATAAGAAAACACTCCGGTATTACAACTATTGCAAAATTAATTTTAGACTTGAATAAATTGTCGGGCATTAGACATTTTCATTTTTTCACAATCAACAAAATGGAAATGACTTCTAAAATAATAAAATGTGTTAATAATGATGAGGTAACGAATATGAATGAGGTTTAGGAATATTTTGTATTCCCGAAGGACTTTAGGCAAGGAATAAATAAAATCATTATAATCAATTACTTTAGCACATAATATATATGTCAATTATCAGCATGATAACACTTCGAATATTTTAAAATTTCATAAATATTTTTTCTATAACACATATATTTCAAATATATTAACTGTTCAGACTATAAATTATAATATATCCTATTAATAAGTTTTAAGAATAATTAGTGATTGATGGAAGCCCAGAAGAATTCACAATATTTAATAAAGTATATAATAAAGAATATAATTTCAAAATATATGCACTACAAGTTTTTAAAGTTAATTATTTAGAAACACTGTGTATCAATAAAATGTAGTCGATTTTATTGTAAAAATTAATAATTTGGTAATTATTGTTAGACATGTCGGCCAAAACTACATATATCTGTATTGTCATTTTAAGTAATAAAATTTTTCGTTTTTATTTTTAGTTTAATTTATAGTCTATAAATTAAACATATTATAGTCTATAATATTGGGAATAATAAGCGTAATTTTTTTATTTTGGAAATGAACCAGTAAGATCTTTTTGGCCTTTTGATAAATTTTTTTAGCACTGGTAAGAACAATAAGAATTGATTATTAATTTGACATGAACAGTTCTTTTATAATGACAATCACGGCTCGCACCTGTCAGAGCTTGAATCACTAAGGTTATATTTTGCACTTATTGAAAATTAAATTACTTGTGTTATCTAAATTGAAGCCTTACATAAGAAATTGTTTTCGAAAATATTAATATAATCCTTGTAAGTACTTCCATGAACTTCTGTTCTAACATTCACAGGAAGGTTTTAAATTAAAGGAATTCTTATTATACAAATTATTAGGATATTAAAGATATAGTTGAATTAAGTCTGTGGTACTTGGTTTTAGGTGAATAACAGTTACAAAGATGTCTTTCCCTGATAAACAACAACGAAAAGTTTGTTGGGATTCTAGAGATCGTTACTGGGCTTGTTTAGACGACCAAAATATTAAAGACAGTTCCGAAAAGCCAAAGGCATGTGCGGAATTTAGGAGAATTTTTGAAAAATCTTGTCCACCCAAATGGGTGACACATTTCGATAGAAAACGAGACTATGAAATATTTAAGGCGAAAATGCAGAAAGAAGGTTTTGAACCAATTAAAGAAAGTCAATAATTTTATTAGAAATCAATTAAATTGATTGTATATAGTTTATTTATTAAATTGTTTTAATTATAAATTGGCTTTTATTCAAGCATTTAAGCTTTGTGTTTAAATGAAACGCTTCATTTTTTTTTTCTTAATAGAATAGGCATTGAATTATGATTTCATCATATTTTTTTTTTGTTTCAAGAATATACTAACAAACAAAAGAATATTGTTAAATTAAATTGACATAGTAAAGTGAGACTTTTTCAAAAACCCAATTTTCATATAGAAAATAATAAGAATGCCTAAATAAATCAGTAAATTATTAAATATTTACATTTTAATCAGGAACACAGTTTGATACTCTACGAGTCTACAGTGTGCATAGTTAATAAATAAATGATTTAAATTTAAGACAAGAATTTTGGAATTATTTTTTTCACTACAACAATATGTTGATGTGTAGATGCATAACAAATAAGAATCTAGAAAATAATATTACATATTGAATAAACTTACCAAATCATTAATAACTTAAACTGATTAACAATTCTTAATTATTGTATTGAAAACTTTACAAAGTAAAAGAGTTGCAAAAATCAAACTTATTCTTGTTTAGCTTTGATTTATAATATTTAAATTAAAAAAAACTTTTTTAATTAAAGTTTAAACAGTCTGTTTTCTTTTATTTTTGTTATATTGTTCACAGAGTAAAATATAAAAATGGAAGGACTTCAAACAGTTATACAAAGGCTTAGCGTTCCAAGTTTTAACATTAATGTGGAAATAATACAGGTAAACTGAACTTCACTGGTTATATTGAAATTATATAGCTTTATATTAAATTTAAATAATAAATGAATTTATGATGGAATTTTGTAAAAAGCGTGACAGTGAATAATAAATATACATATATATTTACAGGAGGTACTAATAGCAACGAAGAAAGCTAGCATTGAGAATGAAAAGTATGAAGAATTTGATATCATATTAGAAATGTTATGGGACCATTTGAATACTGGACTTGAAGAATTTGATGATCAATTACTTTGTTCAACATGTTTTTATAATGTTCTAAGCAAGTCAACAAAACAAGATTTCTATCTTAATCAGATCCTAATAATAATAAATGATGAGCTAGAAATTAAAAAGAAAAATCATGAGAACATAAGTTTGGCTACAACTCTTTGTTATGGCCTCTTCCAATCCTCATATCTCACTAATGATTTCACAAATACAGCAGTACTTGAAAATACTATGAAATCAATTTTCAAATTGTTAGTAAGAATTTCATATGAGTATACACAGTATACATTTATAGCATTCAAAACTATGAGCTCATTTAAAAAAGTGATCGGAACACCTTTAGAAATGACAATTTTCAGTAATGAAAATAAAATTAAAATACTGCATGCAATAAACAATAATTGGGAGAATCCTATAACAGGAATAAGAAACTTGAACAGAATTTTATTCCAAACATTACTGCAAGTTATTGATGATGATATGTTGTCACAAATAATAAAAGAAATAAATACATTTTATTGGAACAAAGCAAAATATTTGATGCTGACTGAAGTGATTCTTAAGTACAGTGGGAATGTTGAGGATTATGTGTTGAAGAATAAATGGCTCAGAGGTTTATTGAATAGTTTATACAAGCCTGGTTTGGTATCTGCTGGCGCTGATATGTATTATGCTATTTTGGAGAAGCTTAATTCAGAAAACTGTTGGATAACATTATTCCTGGAACCTGTTATAAATCTTCTTAAAGGAACCTCTTTTCAAGCTATAGAGAATTTTAAGAATTACTGGTGTTTGAATACTTTCAAGAAGTTTCCTACATTAGCCAATGATTTAGTTCAGCATTTGAAACTCGCCAGTGATTCAGAATTAAAGCTATACAGCATTTTATGTGTTCTGAAACAAGCCAACAAACTTGCTTTAATTGAAAGAAAGTGGACCACAGCAACTCATAATACTAATGAACAACTTGTGATTATTAGCATAGACCATTGCAATGCATTTATAAGAATGACATCTTATGAAATAATATGTGTCTCTCATCAAAAAAGTTTACCAACACAAATTGAGTATGAAATAATTCTTAATTACTTGAGAGATAACATTAATTCTGACTGCACTGTACTTAGGTTGAGTATGATAAATAATTTGGATAGTTTCTTAACTCAATTGCACACAAATTTCTTGAACACTGTCAACAATGAAGAACTCTCCCCTTTAAAATGCTTTTTTAATAGAGTACAAACTTTTATTATAGAATCATTAAGCATGTATGGAAATTACCAAAGGAAAATAACTACTATTAAAGTTTTATACAGCATATTTAATAGCTTATCAGGCAAATCTAAGAAAAAGAATAAGAAACAAAATTGCTCTTCAAAACCAACACTTTTAAAGTTTTTAAAGGAAAACAATTGTTGGCAATTTGATAATGCTGACTTTATAGTAAAGTTAATGAGTCTGCTTAAAGATCCAGCGAATGATGTTCATGAAAATGTACTTCAGTTATTATGCAATTACTATCTGAATGATTTCAATAATCATAACTTATTCAATAGTTTAGTAGAAGAGGGCCTGACATGTGTTAAGAGTAAATTTTTCTATGAAATATGCAGTGGCCACAATATATTTAAACTTATTGTTAATATCCTAATTGAAACCAATACATTAGTAAACAAGGAAGTCAAATTCAAGACAATTACAGACGTCTTTCAGTTTGCCTATAGAGAGATTGATTGTGGCAGTTATAGCAAAGAAAACATAGTGAAATCAATAATAGAAGGGAAACAATTGCATGCATATTTAGGAATATTGTTTGTTATTTTCGATACATCCCTTAAAACGGGATCCAAAATTCCCATCGATTATGAGAGTATTAAGAAACTAGTGGACATTTTAGAAATAATATCTAAACAGTTTGCTTGGGAAGAAGACACTTTAACAAGTTCAGATTTTTCGAAAATGAACGATATGGTACAGACTCTTATAAATAATTCTGAATATGCTGAAGAGAATAATCAAGACCAGACAAAGATTTCAGGTTTTCATCAAATAGTTCTGAATTGTCTATGGCTAAATGTTAAGGTAAATTTCACAATAAATTTTAGGGTAGATGGTTGAAAAGATAAATTATATTGATTTTGTTTCAGGCAGCTTGTGATTTAGCATCTTTGCTTATACTGTATTGCAAAGAATATGTAGCAGTTTGTGAAAAATGTTTGCACATAATTATGCTTGTTCTAGAAACTTCAAGGCATAAAGGTGCCATAGAAGCGGCTGGAGCTGCCTTAGGTTAATATTTATTATATGTATTGTATTTATATATCGAAATAAATATTTATGATAAATAATTTTGTAGGCCAAGGAATCAATTACTTGACATCAACAAAGCTGCCGCCAGAGGTTTCACAGTTACCTTTTATTTTATTAAAGAAAAAATTAAATGAGCTTTTATATGAAACAGCAAAAATGTCCTCTGTAACAAGAAGGGGTGCCGGTTTGTCAATAATGGTGCATAGAATTGTTAGCAATGATAGGAAAAAAGGAAAAGTAAGTTTAACAAAATGTATTATATTTTAATAATATAATCTTTATAAAAGTAAATTTTTTTAGCCTCTGTTTCATTATTTTATGGGAGAATTATTAACAACATGCAAAACTTTGGATCAAAATTGTGAGGTCGAGGAAAGTGACAAAGATCTGCCTAAAGCTATTTATATACATTTCCTGACAAGAATTGTAACTGATAGCAGTTTAGCTTCAGATATTATGTATTATTCGGCTGATCTTGCTGAATTAGCTTTCGATAATCTTACCAACACAAATTGGCAGATCAGGTATGTCAATATATCCAACAATGTTCCTAATTTACAATGTTTTTAATGATCAAACTTTTATTTCATATATATTATGTTTATAGGAATGCTGCTCTCCAGTTATATGGTGCATTAATTCCAAAATTAATAGGTCAAAAAAAAGCTTCTGGGATGGATGAAGAAACTGTGGCTACTGTTGCATGTGATGAGTTCCTAACTCACTCTCCAAAGCTGTGGAAGTATATTATCAAAGAAATTAATAACAATGAGTCTAATGACATCATTCAGACACATTCAAATTTAGTTCCAATATTAAATGTGCTAGCAAATATTGCAAGGCGATACAATTTCTCATGTGATCTTAAAGGACAAAGCAATTTAGAACTAGATTTGCTAAATAATCTTACATCACTACTAGGAAGTCCTATTTATACAGTAAGGAGGCTTGCAGCAAAAAGTATTACAAACCTTTTTTGTTTTGATATAGTCTATGATATTATAAAAAATAATAGTAATGATACAGAAAATCACATTCATGGTTGTATAATGTTATTGTCAGAATTATACAAAATCTACTCAGTTGACGAAACATTAAGAAATCAACTGAATGAACTTGTAAATAATTTGAATAATATATTATTACAAGGGAATTATTCTTTTATATGCAAATGGGGAATTGAAATGTTATTGGAAATAGAAAGTACCAAAAATATCACAGTAGAAATGGTTCAAGAAATATTTTTACATACAAATGCTAATAGATATAAACCAGGGGTGGCACTTTGGGAAAAGATTAAAGTACAAAAATATTTACAAAATGCGCCATTGAATGTTATTCCTAATATTTTAAAAATAATCCTTGCATGTAATGAATATGAGAATTATTTAGACATACTTATAAATAGATTAGAAACCAGTGATGGCATTTGCACGGTAACATTGAAAGAAATTGCTAATATCCTTCTCAATTCCGATTTAAAATTGCAAAGGAGCAAGTTGTGGAAACTACTTTATTTAATATCACTTAAAACAGATTTAAACTGTGATATATCAGAGGTAATATTAAATACACATTCTTTTAAAATTTTCTTCCAAAAGAGATACATGATACCATTTGCTACAAGATTATGTGTTAACCAAGGAGATAAACATTTATCTGATTTATCAAATATTATACAGTCTTTATGCAATCCTGAAACCAATGATATAGATTTGCGGTATATAGCAGCACTATCAAATAATGAATTATCATATAAATTCAAAAGCCACAGTGAGAATGTAAAAATTAATGCAATAATATCAGCAGTAATACTTTTACAAGATGAAGACGAAGATGTTCGGAATGTCAGTGTTGCATTTTATAAAAATATTGTCGACGATAAAAAACCTAAACAGCCATTTGTGTGTCTGAATTCAATATTAGATCATGGGTTTCTATCAACGGTATTAAATGAACCGAAAATAAGCATTCCAAGAATTTGCACAGATTTATTAAGTTTTATTGATAGCATGAGTCAAACCAAAGGTGATGAGTATAATCCGTTCGCAAGTGATTCAAAAAATGTTTATTTTGAAGTGAATGTATTGAGACAAATTTTATTTAAACTAAATAAATATGTCGAATAACATTTTATTTTATATGTCTATGTTAAGAGTAATTGAAATAAAATAATATAATTTACTTATCAGTTAAGGATATTTTTTGTCATTCATCATAGAAATATTTCTGTGGTGGGTTTGTATTGTCAAGTTGTATTGATACAATGTGTCGTCCTGGCACCATGACTAGACCAAGTAGTCGAGGTTCTTCTGTTTCACCGTCAGAGCTTTTTAGATATTCTGAACAGGCTCCTGAAATTTTGGAAATAACAGTCTATATTTTTACTTATTTGAGTTTTTTTTGCATATAAATGACAATTCATTCAATTAAATGACATATTCTTACCTAATATAACATTTGCATCTCTGTCCGTGCAAAGAAACACTCCTATTAATACTCTGCCATCAGTCATTTCAATCCTAAAATTCATATTTAGCCATTTTCTTAACTTCGCTTTACCTTCTAATTCTTCAATAACCTACAAATATATTTAAAATTTACAGAAATTAAAATGTATTATTATTTTTCATTTTCAACATTTAATTTTACCTTTGGGTCCCCCACTGGTGTTAAAGTTGTTGAAGACATTTTTAATGAAGAACAGTATGAGAAGCACTTTAATTAAATGTATGAAGTCTTTATTTTGTGTACTAATTACAATTAAACACTTAATTTAATTTATAGCCCTCATCCGTATAACAATTTACAATAAAATAATAAACATTGTTATATTAGGAACTGCTAACTTAGACAAGTGAAAATGTGATACTTTTGACATCTGACAGCAATCGAAATAAAATTTTTCTTGAAAAGTAAAATTTATACAAAAACGTCTTTTAATATATATTCTGAAAATTATGATGAAGCTGTTATTAAGAGAGACTTTTATAACTTAGAAATAATAATAGTCTCTGCATACTCTATAAATAATTATGAAATGCAAAAAAATTACATTTATGGATATGATTATAAATCCGACCTTACAGCTTTGACAGTTGTTACTGTCATTAACCTTAAAATGTTTCTATCTATTTGTAAACAAGATTTATTTAAAGGATAAATATCATTAAATTAAACATTATTAAGAGGATCGTTGCGATGGAATCAAAAGAAAGTTCTATTATATCTAGGGATATATTTATGGAAACCTTCAAATATTTTAAATCGAACAAACCAAAACCATCTTTAGATAAAGTTATAACTAGAGATTCTGATGATCGATTACTGCAGGTACATTTAATAATAGCAAGGTTTACACTCTTAAGAGTGTAATTCTCAGATTACAGAAAACATCTCAATACAGATTTTTTCTTACAGCTCCATAGAAGAGATATTATTGAAGACGTAAGGTCAAAATATTTGGGTTTGCGATCTCTAAAGGAATGGAAAGCCTACTCGTTGAAGAGTAATCCCGGTTTAATATTAATAAGAAACCCTTTCACTAGTCTAGGGCAAAAGTTTTGGATAAGAAAATGCTTAGAAATCTATCCAAGGAAACCAAATAGAACAAATATTGATATAGAAACACATATAGATGATTGGTGGCGGGAATGTCATTATAGTGAGAGTATTAACAGCAAGCTTCTGAAGAAATTGCGCTGGACAACATTGGGATATCATCATAATTGGGACACAAAAGTACAATATTAATATAAAATATTATTGAATATATATATAAAACAAATAAGAAATATTAAACATAATTATGGTTCTGACATTGAATTGTCTTATTTTGTTTGAAGGAAGCTTATGCTAAACAGTATTTATGGTTCATAAATTCATATAAAATATGTTAAAATTACAGGTTTACACTGAAGAGAATAAAGGAATATTTCCCAGTGAACTTTCAGAGTTAAGTGACATAGTAGCACATTACCTTGGCTATAAAGGGTTTCGAGCAGAAGCAACAATCGTTAACTACTATCATATGGGTTCGACACTTTCTGCTCATACTGATCATTCAGAAATCAACTTAGAGGCACCTTTATTTTCATTTAGGTAATCTTCAGAAGGTATAAACAATATAGTATAAAACAACATAAAAGAACAACTGATAGACATTCTCATTTTCTCTGCCCATGGTCATGGTTGCTGCAAAATAACCAAAACACATGGAGTATATAGTTTAAAGTAATAAAATATGTGTAGTATATAGTATTGAAGGAATAGTTGCAAAAGTCTTAGATATCATTATCTTAAAAAGCATAAGTAATTATATTACACAAGAATTTTCAACTTTGATAGTTTAATAAATTTTTAAGCAGATGAGTATATAAATTAAACTTTTTGTTACAGTTTTGGACAGTCATCAATATTCCTAATAGGTGGGCAAAATAAATTTGTAGAACCAATTCCCATTTTACTAAACAGTGGTGATATAGTTATCATGTCAAAAGAAGCAAGACTATGCTATCATGCTGTCCCGAAAATATTACCTTCGCCTGAATCACCTTGGAATTATCAAGAACATTCCGGAGAAATGGATTTTAATGCTGTAAAATTTAAATACATAGATTACGATATCAGTTCAGACTATTATAAAAACATAGATAATGTTGAATGGAGTAATTTCAATAATTATATTTGTGAATCAAGAATAAACATAAATGTTCGGCAGGTTTTAAAGGAAAATCAAAACAGTTTGAATGATGTTTGACTGAAGTTTTTAATCCGAAATTATTTATATTGTTATTATATTATTTACATTATTTATGCACTGTTATAAATAAATCCGCCAATCAGACCGGGATTCTTGTATGGAGGGGTTTGTTTGACAGGTGGTTTTGTGATGACTGTAAAAACAAAATTTTATTAAAATTCATGTTTAAACAAATGTTATTTTTGTGTAATACAGATTACTATTAATATAGAGAGAGCCGAATGTTATATACACTTAAAAAATATTCAATAGCTGGCAGCGCCATCTATAAGCCATATAGCGTGATTTCATCAGTAAAGAAACTTGTTTAAAGACTAAGAAATATCCAAACACTCATCATTCTAGGGAGCTCTTCTACAATGGCGCAGAGTATGCTTCCAAACAAGGGTTTTACAATTTAAGACCACATAAAAAGATCTTTTCCAATAACCACGAAGATTTAACATAGTTGCATTCTCAAAAATAATTTTTGGTACTAAGTTTTGTACTTAAACTCCACATCATGTCATCCGTTTTCAGAATATTTATCGGAAAGTGGAATTCGATTTTGTGAAAATGCTTTCTTTTTTATGATCTTTTTTAATATATAAAAATGCTTTTAACCATTTTTAAGTTCCGCTTACTTGTTGACCTTAAGTTTTTTCTATAAAATCACTCTACATATCTTTTACTGACTCGATCGACATCTCATTAATATTTTCCAGACGAGGTTAAAGGAATTTTAACTAAAAGCTTTAGTCTTACGAGACTGTAACATTTATATGCGCTGGATAAAATTTGTTTCGCTTTAAAATTTCCGTCGCATAAACTAGATGGCGTTAAAGCAATGATTACACAGAGACGCCTTTAGGCTACAGACATGTCTGTAAACAAAACTATAGCCTTTATAATGTTAGGACTACTATTGACTTATTTCTTAAATTATATTTTTTAATAGATACATCCATAACACCACTTTTAATGTTAGACACGCAAAATTATAGGATGAAGAGGTGTTAATGTATGTGTTATATTTCTTGAAAATATAAGTCAATGAAATTAAACTGTGGTCATTTAATTAAAATAACAAAAACAGCCCAGTGCGAGTCGGAATCGCAAGACGTGCAAGTTACAATTATTTAGAAAATTGACTTACAAAAAATTGTCTGTTGTATGGGAGCCCAGTCAAATATTTATATTTATTTTTTTACATCATTTGTTGTTACAGTGGTAACAGTGATAAATCTTTTGTGAAAAATATGATGGCTAACTATTTATGATGATTATTATGATTACTATGATGGTTTATGAGTTACAGCCTGGTGATTGACTGACAAATGTTAGAGTAGTTGGAACATCAGGATTTTAGTAATAGGGCCTAATATTGCTATTTGTGCAATATATTACCTTATGCTTTAATTTATTGCTTTGTGATTTTGGCAGCATAAATAATTTAAGAGAAAAAATTCATCACCTTCAGAATTAGGTTTCGTAATTAAGGCATGCATGCTCTTCTGGTGGTCACAAAGTCCCCAAAAGCATTTAATATAGCTTTCGGTGTAGCATTCATATTCGTCGCTTGCCTCGAAGTTGGCGAGGCGACGCATCGTTGGCTTAAAACAATCCGCGCATTTCTGTTTCAAATTACGAATCTGCATATTTAGGTCATTAAAGTGGAAAATTAACAAAAAATTTTTGCGCTTTCAAATTTGTGTGTTTACTAAAAATTTTAGAGTGTCAAATTGTTGTTGACGGTTTGTGATTCTCACTTATTTTCCTTTTTAATTACGGAGAAGGTTTTAATTATATTTTTGTTATTGATATACGGACTGAGATAATTTTTGAGTGTTTTATATGAATATTATTGAAGATTTTTATAGTTCAAGAATTTGTTCACGTTTTCTCTGCTTTCAGAAGAACATTGATTTTAATTTGATTTTATAATTTAATGCAATTGGAACATGACGTAAGTATTATTAAACCAAATTAAAGGTATTAAGAAACTTATAAAAGACAACCAAATGTATCTATCGACAAAGACTATTTCTCGAGTCAGCCTTATGTTTACTATTTTTGTAATTTTTTTATACAAAATATGATATGAATTTTTATCCAACTACAAAGTAAATAATGAAATAATTATCGGTATGAATAGAATTTGAACTTGAAACCTTCGTAATACCGATTCAGTTGCTTAGTTTTTCTATATTTTCCATTTTAATTATGTTGTAAGTTATTTCATCATCGGTTTCATGTTAAAAACAAAAAATGTTTAATATCGCGTCATAAAATGTCTTGTGACATTTATAATTTATAATCCTTCACTTTATATCCAGTTAAAAGTGGAAAACTGAGTCCTAATTCTTGCGAAAGCATCATGAAGATTCCTGTGAGTTCGTTGGATATGCAATGTTAATATTTTAAAGACGATGAAAGATGAATTTTATTATTCAAATACGTTCTTTGCATCGTCTGTGTGTATTCATTCTCCATCTGCAGTTAGCTGCTCTACGCGATATCGAATTCAGCCTTTCAATTCGTAGCGAACAGACGACAAAGCGGCACGATTTCCCCATTTGCTCAATAGAAATGCCATTTAGCGTTTCTCTTCAAAAAAGATGATTATCCACAAAACTGAGCGTTCCACATTGTATGCCTACAATCGTATGCACTTTCTAGAAGCTCTAATCTCTAGCATATTGGTACTTTTACGTTCGATACATTTTAGTAAAATTTTTACTGCTTTTGAATGCTTAAGATTTTTTATATAATAAGTTCAAAGAAGAATTGAGCATTCAAAATTGTGTTTGTTCTTTGACATCTGTAGAAGCAGCTTCTGAACTGTAATAATTAAAACTAGGAGTTAAGAAATGTCACTCACTGAAATAATGGCAACTTTATTATTCACGCCGAACTAGGAAGTTCGTTAAATTTTCACTTTAAGATTCAA